TCAGGAGCCTAGCACACTGCCACACAGCCACTGCCCAGGAAGAAATCAAGAGCTTGCAACAACAAAGATGCCCCAAGTGGAGCACTCCACTGAAGCCCCTTGGATGGTCAATGACCACCGGCTCCAGGAAACTCAAGCTGTACCCTTAGCGTCTGAAACCTTAGCATTGATAAGCCTATTAGCAGAACCCACTGAACTTACAGCAGAGATGGAAACGGGTGTTTCTACACTTAGTGTACCAGCCCAAGGCACGTTTCCTCCCCTAATCACAAGAAATCTATATCAAGCAGCCTACAGCACCAACTGACTTTAAATGGTTGCATACGAACTATCTGACAAGGCTTCCTTCCCATCAGCAGAAAGAAAGAGCACAAGTGGCATGCAACTTTTCCCCCCTCTAAAGCAGGCATAGTTGACATAAAACATGACACCAAAGTGCCTTTCTCTACACATCCGATAAAAGAAGCCCAAGGGGACACAGATGTTAAAGTCTCTATTGGAGTTATCTCAAATTGAATGGAATGAACCTCACCCTTTGCTTCTTTCCCTGTGTCTTCTCATCTCAAAGGCCTCATTAATACATCACAGTAAATAATACATATATTGATTATAAATACACTAATAAAAACAAAGAAGTTTGGCCTAAAGGGTGTATAGAGAAGTAGAGAAATAAAGAAGTACAGAGTAGCTGCATGTCCAATCAATACCAACCCACAGGGAACAGCCATTTCTCTTTGCCACCATTTTATCTGCAATATATCGTACCCCTTAGGTAAATACGTGGACATTTACAAGTGGGAATCAATAGAACTAGAGATCTTCCCACCCCTTCACCCAGACAGGCCATTCTTCTTTCATTGGAGCAGACAGCAGTGAGAAACCATAGATTAATGTTTCCTCTACTACAGGCTATCTGTTGTACCCAGGCTTTCTTTTGGGGCTCTCTGAACACTTTTACCCAACTGGAATAAGGTCAGAGACACTGGAAGCCACACAGACCATTTTGGGAACCCAGAGCAAACAGCTTCAGTGGAAGGTGAAGTTCTAACGACAACATTCAGTTGATGGGAGGGGGAAAAAAATAAAGCCTGAAAGCTTTGCCTGCATGTAGAGGATTTTGTCCCAGGCACATCACCAGCTAGTAAGTCTGTATGTCTCCAGGCTTGCAGATGGATAAACAGTTGTCCCAATCAGATCTAGATAAGGCCAGTGGAAGCCACTGCCCTGGCTTCAGGGAACTTAAAGTCACTCCTCCCAGTGTTCCCACATACCTCAGCCCAGGGACATATCCTATGATACCTAAAGGCTTTTTTCTTCCCCCAGGGCATGTTAATATCACTCAATGTGACTGCCTTTTTTCTTCTTTCTTAACTTTACTCTGGCAGGAACCGGGCAATCGCAACGGCCATCACTCCAATGTGGCTGCCTAAAGCTGGACAGGCAGAAAGACAATGTGCACACAGAGAGACTCCTGCCATGCATACAAAGGAAATCCAAAGCACTCACAAGCACAACACAGTGGCTGTGCCTCGATTTGTGTCCTGCATCTGTGGGTAAATTTATGGGAACTGTGAGATATCACTCAACACAGACACAAGTGGCCAGTTCCTATCATGTAGCTTGGAAATGCCCCTGGTCCTGCAGCCCAGATCCCAGCTCACACAAAGAGAATGCATATATCACTTACGTTCAGACAAAGAAGATTTCCTCTTGGCTTTCAGCAGAGTACCCAGAGCTGCATAAGATTAATGTGTCATCTAATATTAGCCCTTTTCACACTATGAGTTATACTCATTACCTTATCTTCCATGAGCAAATAATTAATCATCAGCTTTCAAAAAGCCAGTTCATAAAAGTACATATCCAGAAAAATGACGGGATGGTGGATCACAGGATGGGTTGGTTTTGTTGTTTAAACTCATATCTCCAAAGGATTGCTGAAGAGAAATTCCCACTAAGATTTCATTAAAAACTACTTCCTTAACACGGTTTAACTGCCACCATACTCCTGACTCCTTTAGAAAAGCACTAAACAAGTTAAATAGTCCTACTCAATACCTAGAAAAGCAGAGCACCATACAAACCCCAACACATTCCACTAGCAGGGGCAGCGCATTTCAGGACTTTCCAGCTTCCAATTTCAGGACTTTCCAACTTTCTCATATGCAAAAGTACTCTAGCAAGCAGCTCACCATGCCTTGCCATCAGTCATCTAAGGCTTCTGCTGTGTTCTTACTACAGATGCTAAATTCTGCTCTGTGTCACTTTCAGATCAGCTTCCACTCTCCATAAGAAAGTACATGAGGGCTGGTTCACCACAGTATTAGCTGAGCTGGGTGCGCAGTCTCTGCTTTACCCATCATTTAGTCACCCAGATCTTTAAAGACATGAGACAATAGCAAATCACACTGAAGTTTGCAACCTGGAAATGAAAGGCTACACTTTCTTCTTTTCCTCCCTTCTGTTTTACTGCTGGGTTAAATAAATAAATAAATAAATAAAGTAAGTAAGTAATCAAAAAAAGAGTATAAGAAAGCTGAAATCTGGGCTACATGCACGGAAGGATGCTCAGAAGGATGCTCTCTGCAGGGGCTCCTCTGCCACCGCTACATCAGGCACCTGACTCACTGGGGTTGCTTTTCACCTTCACCTGCTCTGCTCCTCCACATAGTCACAGGCTGAACAGAACTGGTTGAGGCAAGCCCCCCTCCTAGATCTCCTGCTGTCAGTCAAAAAAAGGGCCTGATAAGCTTTACATTTGCATATGTATTGAGAAGCATTTTCAAAGGCACAGTCAGGGAAATGGCCTTTCTGAATACCGATGCTATCTGAGAATGACAACTATTCAAGTCATTCTACAGCTTCACTACCTAAGCGGAAAGATCAGGCTTGTTTGCATCTTTACAAGGATTAAAAGTGCTGATCATATCTGTCCTTCACTCAAAAATGAAGCCACGCATGTTCAAAGCAAAAGGCTATCTTCAGTGTTTCCCACAGAGACCACGTTCTAAAGACGCCCCAGAGCCAGAACCTAAGGTCACATATGAAATGCTTGCGCCCATACTCCTCCTTTCTGTACAGGCTCATGAAAAATGGTGCAAAGGCATGCATGGAAACATAAACACGTGCATTCTCTACCACCCCTCCATACACTTACCCTACATTAGGGTAAGGCATGACCGAGATAAGAGTGATCAATCCCCTCCGAATGATGTTTCTGGGCTCATTCCCGCACACAGCGTTTGAGGAGCGCAATAAGAACCCAGCTCTGCAAGCACAGGTTTTCCTCTGGGCAAAGTACCCCACAGTGCCTCACCCCGAGTTTAAGGGCCAGCTGAGAGTGTGGTGGTGTCCCGTATGTACAAGAGTCCCGGGTTAACAGATTAGTTCGACTGGCTTTGTCCTAGTCAGCTGTCGATACCTAAAAGGGATGTGGTCCAACGATTACAAACCAGAACTGTGAAGCCCTTCTGTTCAAAACAGTAACGGTACATTCAATATCTACCCCGTCCTCTCTGGGCCTCTCTGGAGAGCAACACTTTAAGAAAGGGAAGTCAAGGCAGGAACAAAAGCTATCTGCAGATTTACAAACCAGATACTTCTGATTTACACAACAATAGAAGAGAGAGGTTTAAAAAAACAAACCACCAAACATTTAAAGACACTTGCTGCACCATCTGGTGACTGGATCACCCTTGAAACCAATCCCTCACTACTGACTGAGGTGGCCAGAACATCTCCAGCTGTGAGTAGAAACACACAGCTGCAGCAAGAGGACCACACACAGCAAATTCATGGATGCGCACAGTACCCGAGAACTGGGTTAATCAGTGCTGTGTGCCCCCAGATCTCCTGGGGCATAAGGACTTGCCATAAATCACCAAAAAAAAAAAAAAAGGGACCTGGTCCCACCAGGACCACCAAAACCTCTGGTTGCTGCAGGCATGGTTATCTGGTAAACACATCCACCGCTGACACCAGACTGAGCCAACCCCTGGGGCTTTAGCCCCCACTGTGCTTGGAGGAGGGAAGGGGTAGCCCAACCAGAAAACAGTCCTCTCTGGTTGGAAAAGAGGATTAAGAACATTAAAAGGAGCCTTATAGACAATAAGTAATTAGATTGGTGACTGGTTTGATTCTTACTGAACCCTCTTGGCCAAACTTCTATAAGTCAAGTATTTGGTCTTGCTGGTTTCAAAAAAGGAGAAAATAATCTCAATTTTAAAAGACATTCCAACACTATTGTTTTAATGACTGATCGCTATTAAACAACAGGAGAAACTTTGCTTGAATACAAGCTGTCAGAGGAGGCTTGGCATGATTTCACAGTGGAGCTTGTTCCTAACTTTAATGACTAAGCTGAACAAAACTGTGAGCACAGCGTCCTTTCGAGAGTAGTCTCCTCTCTACAAACCTCCCGTTTCTGAAGCAGAGTGGGACAAGCCGAGTTGCACCTCTCCAAAACTCCTGAGCTCTCCTCAGCCAGCCTGCCCTGAGAGCCTATGGAGCTAAAAGGTGATGCTCTGTGGGGCAGACCAACACTGGAGATGCTTTCAAAATCTCAGCCAGGCTCTTTATCAATCTGATCTGCCTAGCAAACAAACAAGCCCAAGGTAAACCAAAATATTTAAAGGGCAGGAGAGACAGGGAGAAGATGGAGTGTTTATTTAACCCTGAAAACCCAGGCTGGTTTTCGTCAAAAAAAACAAAACAAAACAAAAAGCCAAGATAAACAAACAAAACAAGACTCCAACCCTCAGCCCCAGACATCGGTAACACAGTCATGGAGCACACACCACACCGAGGTCCTTCCCTGGCCCCCGGGGCTGCTCCTCCGGAGGTCACCAGGGCTGGGCAGGGCTGGGGCCCACAGGGACCCCCCCTGTCCCGGGATCCCTCACTCAATCCCCGGGGAACCAGACCTGCCGGCGGAGCGGTGGCAGAGCCGGACGGGCGGCACCTGCTGTCCGCGGGACTGGGGATCGGGGGATGTCACTCACCGTTAAGGCCGTTGGGGATGCTCCGGTGGTGGAGAGGCGCGGACAGGTCATCCATAGACCTCCGCATGGCCCCGGCCTTGCTGTCGCCGGCCTTGTGGTGGTGGAGGTGGTGGTGATGGTGGTCGGGGCTGCCGGCGCTGCCCGTGCTGGAGGTGCTGCTCCCGTCCCCCACGTCCCGGGTGGCCGAGCCGCCGTTGAGGTTGGTCAGGCTGGCCTGGCTGTCGATGGAGCTTCGCGAGCCGGCCCCGCTCCGCTCCTCGTCCAGCATGAGCACTATCTCCTTCAGCTCCACGTTCTCCCGCAGGAGAGTCTCCTGCCTGGCCTCCAGGTCCTTCAGCTTCTGCTGGTACATGCCCACCTCCTTCCACATCACGCTGGCCGTGTGCCTCCCGAAGCGCTGCCATTCCCTCGACAGCTTCTTGCCTTTCTGCCGGTCGTCGTCTAAGAAACAGCAGAGCTCCCTCAGCTCCTGGTTGTCGTCCTGCAACTTCTGGTTCACCTCCTTCAGCCCGCGGATCTCGTGCAGGTGGAGCTGCAGCCGCCGGTTCACGTCCTTCATCAAGTTGCCGTGTTCCACCATTAAGTTCATCTTTTCATTCTCCACTTTCCTCAGTCTTTTCACCAGCTCTTCCTTGCTCCACCTCAGCATCTCCTCTTCCGAAATTTTGCTCAGGTCTTCCCTAGACCCTTCCAGGGAATTTTTTGCCATCATCTGTGCAGCGTTCGCTCTCGCACGGTAACAAATGGTTCGGGTTATTCGGGTTATTTTGTTCGCCTGATTTTCTGGGACTAAAATTCACTGCAGCATCTCGAGAAAGAAATATTATAGCTCTCCGCAGAGCGTTGGACAACGGTGAAGAACAACGCCGGAGCGGAAGATCTGCTTCTCCACAGACCCCATAATAACAATAATAATTAAAAAAAAAAAAAAAAACGGGGGGAAAAGGGGGAGGAAAAACAGGCGCTCCCCCCAAGGGGCTGGGGCGGCAGGAGCCAGGAGCCAAGCGCTGCCGCCCTCCAAGCGAAGTCTCCGGTGGGGATCGGTCAACTTACCCTGGGCAAAACAACTACGCTGTGGCCGCCCCCCCCCCGCCCCACTCTCCGGCCACTTGTCCTCCCACACGCCCCCCCCGCCGCCTGCCGCTCCCCGCCGCGGGAGACCACGCACCCGCCGGAGCTGCCCCTCTCCTCCGCGGCTCGCTCGCAGCTCCGCAGCTCCCTGGGGCCGAGCCCGGTGTGGCGGCGGCCGATGCCGGTGCTGCGCTGCCGAGGAGCGGTGGGGGAGCCGGCGCCTTCCCGGAATGGCTCAGCCCTCGGGAGGAGAGAGGGAGGAGGCGGGCGGCAGCGCCGGCGCTGGTCCCACCTCCTGCCGGGCAGGGAGACGAGGCCCTGCCCAGCCCAGCCCTGCCCAGCCCAGTCCAGCAGAGCCGAGCCGAGCCGAGCCGAGCGGCGGAGAATGAGAGCCGGCTGCTGGCGGCAAAACGGAGGGGCGCCAAGCCGGGCCGAGCGCCGCCCCGTTGGCTGCCGGCCTAGGCGCTGGCCAGGCCCCGGTGTGCCGTGCCGCGCCCCGCCGCCGGCTCGGGTTACCGGAGCAGCGGACTCCGCAGCCAATGCGGGGCCGCCTGCCGCCTTCAAACGGCAGGTACAAAGGGATGGGGCTGCTCCCGCCCTCCCTCCGCCCGCCCTGCCATGCAATGCTCTACCCTGTCCTGCCGGCTGCGGCCGGCTCACTGCTGCCCCCCCACAGCGTGTTTCCCACCCTCTTTTTGCCTGTTCTTGTTGGGTTTGCCTGTTTTCAAAAGGCCACTACCGAAGGAACCCCATCCTGGCAAGGGAGGGGTTGGACAGGCAGGAAGACGCTCCCGACGGGCGGCCGGGGAAAGAGGCGCCGGAGCGGCCCCGGCCCCTCTCTCGCCAGACGCGGGGAGGGACCCGGTGCCGCTGGCGGGCGGCTCGAGCCCGGAGCGAAGCGGGATCTCCCGGGGCATCTCCGCTGCTGCCCGCCGCCCGCCACAGGCTTTGTCACCGTCGCCCGGCCCCGCTCCGCTCAGCCCGCTCCCCCTCCGGGGCGGCTGCCTTTGTCCCCGCGTCCCTCCTGCCTCGGCCGGAGCCTGCAGGTCGAAGGAGCCGGTTCTAGCATTCTGAGACCTCTCTGCTCCTGGAACCGGCATATTCCTTCAGACCTCAGAGGTGCGTGAGGAAACTGCCCTGAAGGCACAGATATGGCTTATTCGCTGGTAAAATCTCCCCAGGTCCTGGTGGTCCTTACTGTCAGGAGCACGCATGCCAGCATCACTTCTGCAGACATCAGACAGAGCACAGTAACAGGTACAGAAGGCTCATGAAGCAGATTTCCCAGGCAACATGTATACAGATTTCCTTTATCCTTGCATCATATCCTCAACTTTTAGTCTAATGTACTTTTACTTGGGCCATACTATCTCTCTAGGCTGCTTTTGCCCAGTATTGCATTGTAAAAATGAAAGATGCACTGGTACAGAGCAGTGCTGCCACCTATTTCCTGCATGAGTATCCTTAAAAAGCCCCCAGGGATTGCCAGCTTTGAGTTCCTGAAGAACCTCTGTAAATGATTTGACACCAGGGTTAACCCAGTGAAACCTCAGGTTTCTGACCATGCTGGAAAACTGGTCAAGACACCCTTTGGCTATAAACATCAAATCTGATGCCAGAACATAGGATGCACAGCAGATGGCCTGTGGATGGAGGGAACATCAGAACAGAGAGGGACAGAGGATTGCAACTTCTGTCTTTTGGTGTTATCATCCTAAGTCTCACTCAGTAAAGCTGCAGTTTCTTGGGTGTTTTTCTGCACAAGGCTGGGCTCCTGGGTTTCTGAGCCCAAGTATACCCTTGGCAAATTAAAGACAAGTGCCTGTTCCCTGCTGAAGTGGAACAGCAGGACTTCTCTGCACCTGGGGAAGTTCAACCCATCCATGGGCACTACTGATCCTTCTCCCAAAGCAGCTTTTATCCCTCAGTTATCAAAAGGGTAAGAGAAGCTTAGGACAGAGCATTCACACTAGTTCACTTCATGTGGGACTTGATTCCTGGTAACATGCTGCTGCACAGACATGAAGATGTGGACAATTCTTCCCTAGCACATTCCCACACCAGGGTAGTCCCCTATAGAGAAGGGAATCACATTGTATAAGGCAGTGGTGAGACCTGTTTGCACTTTTCAGGGGGCATCAGTATGAGTAGGTAAAGCAGGGGCAACCCAGGACCAGCTGTGCTCTAACCTGGGTGCCCACCTTGGAGGCAGCTTTGCAGAAGGTACAGCTCTGGCCACGGCTGGTCAGCCCTTCTAGAAGCTGCCACCTCAGCAACAAAGTCAGCCCTTAGGTCGCAAGCCAGCAGGCCTCTGTGCCAAGAGGGGTCTGGCACCCCTTGGGCTACAGCCAGTGTGGGGTGTGATCAGGATGTACCCCATCTCCTGTTTCTCACTACCTTGAGCCAGGGCACCAGAATGCAAGCACCCCCTGTGAATGGCGCACGCTGCCACTCGTGGTGGCTGTATCGTGTCTCGAAGGCACCCAGCCATTTTCCAAGCCAAACATTTATTTACAAGGCTGTAATCGCATCCTTCCCCGCAGGAAGCGGAAAGTGCTTCTCCCGGACCCTCCCAAGCACTGATCTGACTAGCAGATCCCCAGTGGCTGGGAAAAGGAGGAGCAGAGCAGGGGCACCCTGCAGAGCAATTGTTCATTGCTAACCAAAGTCAACAGAGGAGGAGAAGCCTTTGGTGGCTGCACCACAAATACAGGTGCAGCTACGCCATGGTGGTGCCCGGCCCAGGCAGTGTAGTGCTGGGCTTGCCTGAGGTTTGCTTCATCTTTTTCCCAACAAAAGCTGTTTTTCTTAAGTGAAACCTTTCAAAGTTTGAGCTTTATTGATGCTTGTGCAGAGACGGAGCCCAGTAGATAGGGGGGCTCCTAAAAGGAAGTGAGGAGATTATTAATATCCACAGAGGAAGTCCCTGTGATGATTAAGAGTTGCTTTCAGTACTCAGTGGCTATGTCTGTACTTTCGGAGATGCTAATGACACAGATCCACCTTGCTGCCATTCACAAAGGGTTTTCTGTCATTCTGGTAGCTATAAAAGCATGGTGACCTGCTGCAGTTGAGCATCTGGAGGCCTGTATGCTCTGGAGGCAGCACTGAAGTTGCCAGGTAAGCAGATGGCGTTCGGCCCAGTGAGACTCCTCCACTAGCAATGAAGAGAGTGGGATGGTGCCAGTGGGTTTGGGTGACAAGACCTGAATTGAGTGGACACCATGCATCATTACCATTTCTGTTCCCTCCTCTTCAAGGTGGGCCTTGCATTGGAGTAGGGGAAAATCCTTTCATGTTGGAAACAAAAGGCAGCAGTGTTAGAGCAGAAGGGTGAGGCTTGGAGGTATCAGAGAGTGTCTGTGACCCAGATGATTCATGGGCAAAGTGGAACTGAGGGCTGTGAAGAGGTAGTTTTTTAAGTGCTTTGATACCTCGGAGGGAAAGGACTAGGTCAGTGCGCAGTTTTATGATCAATAGCAAACCCAGTGTTGCAAGCAGATTTTTAATCAACACAGGTAGTGTGTAACATCAGAGTATTTTTGATGGGTTTGTGATTTTAGTTTTAGTGAACAAAGCCCATTTCCTGGTGTCGTTCAGGAGGCGTTATGATTTTCCCATGCCGATTTAAAATGAAGCATAGGAGAAGTTGGTAAACAACACACTACTGATTCCTTTTTGTTATATCTGGCCATCGGGCCTTCTGCAAGCTTCCAGTGAAAAACACTTTTAATATGCATGTTATCTTAAGCCTTGATGTGCATGTAAGACAACATCAAAGCCTACCTATCTCTTGCATTGAGTTAAATGGACACTTCCACCCTCTTCAGTCAGGGATAAAATTTTAGAGCAAATTATAGCATCGTAAGAATTTTAGGAAACAACAAAACCAAAACCACCTACTGGGTAATATTGCTCTTGGTCTTAGCTCCTGAACTCAGCTGGTGACACAAAGAACGAATTTTATCCCTGGTATAACACAGCAATACGCCGCGTCATTGAAGTCAAAGCATTCCCTCTACAGGGCTACGTTAGTACTACAGAAGACACAGCTCAGGCCTGTGCTATGGCTTCCCTCCCACGAGAGGGGTGGCTCTCCCGAAGTCCACTCACTCCTCATGGGTGGGAGTGGGCAGATGGGCAGGAGGAATCCTAGTGAGATTCTCCCAGGACCTTGCTTTTCCAAGGCAGCCTAGGAGGTACACACTGCTGCATGTGCATCAAGGCCATGCTCCAGTTTACTCACACTGAGGACCCATCTCATTAAAACATGTACTCCATGAATCATTTACATGGGTTATAAATCCTCTGCAGCATCGGTATTTTCTCATAAATCAGCGCCAAGGACTAATCCTTGATTAATGTTTGAAAATATACCATCCAGATTGCGACAGTGAGAGCTCTGTTTTGTGCAACAAAGCAGTGCGATAACAAAATACGTGCAATGCTCCTAATCTCTGCTATCGAGATACGTACCTCGCTTCTAGCCTGATTAAGCAGTATTTTCAGCCAGAACATTTTTCCAGTTAGCAGCTACCTGAGAACTGCCATGCATCATTCTTCTTTCTTTTCCCAGATCTGAAACCTACGGAAAGCCTTCATCCCTCCACTTGCCCATCTGGCTGAGCTATGACGAAAAAGCAGTCTCTTAGAAGATTATGCAGCACTCCTTAATGCTGGCTTCTGGCAATATAACTGGGCAATCCAGTTCATTCACTCTCCTTATGAAAGTAATATGGTTTAGTGGAAGGTTTCATCTTGTGTCCACAAAGCCTTTTTATTTTATGCCCTGAAACCGCTAGTAAAATTCTAAAATGCACCAGCTTGTTTGAAAGCCTTTGGGATATTCAGAGAAGAATTATGGTTGTGACCAGCAAACTCTTTGCTGTGCCTGTAAAACAGGTCCTCCAAGAGACATAAGAAGTAGCCTCTAAGCACTGCTGCTAAGAACAGCATCCAAATTGGAGACCAGCAGAGATGGAGAGCTGGTACTTGCAGGAAGGTGCAAGACAGGGGAGGTGTGTGTGTGCTCAAG